GACCTGGTACCATACTCTCTTGTCATGCGTAGGCGTCACAATACGTCATTTTTTACCTTTTTTTGAAATATCCCGGCGTAGTTGAACAAAAGTTCAGTCTTGGATTGGAATCACTTTGAACTACCCTTAGTTCTTATAATAACGATGCTTCTCCTTGTGATCAACCGAGAAAGAATATCAATGTTCCTAAATGGGGCATATTCGCATCTAGCTCCTTAAAATCAGTCGGCACCAAGTTCGGAATTCGCCTTCTCAAAAACTGCTTCATGAATAAATTGCAAGGTTTTACTCTTATCACGAAGTTATTTTAATCCAACTGACTGTACTTCTCAAAAGAAAGAACTTAATTAGCAAGGACCAGCTTATTAGTAACCCTCGGGACTTTCTTTTTATTCTTTGGGTTGAGGGGCTTCCCAGCATCTCTGTCACGAATGTCAACTTCCTGAGCATTTATTTTCGAAATTTGTCTATTCGCTACGAGTGAAAATTAGGCCAACCCCTAGTATGCTTTATGTTATTCACTATACATCTGGGAACTAGTTTTCTACTTATTTCGGTCTTCTACGAAGTCACTATCGCGACCTTCCATTAAAAATATCCATGTTTATATAGCTTCTAATAGGTTCACAATAAAGCCTTCACAGATTCATCCGATATTCAGTCCTCGTTAAATGATCTTCGTCATGTGTTTTTTTCCTCGTTTCCATAAGCGGCTTATTTTGACCGCTGACACTCAAGATCATTCACATTTGTATTTCGCCACAGTTGATCTTTGCTTTGGGTCTTATGAAATTACAACCTTACATCTCCGAGGCATGGTCCTGGATTTTTCTCTGTTTGGTGTTTTCAGCTAAGACTTTCCATCTAATGCTTTATGCATCCATTACTTTGTCTTTAGTTATACGACATATGGTTTGTATTACTATTAGCTAAACGCCATACCCTGATCTCCAAATTGATCACAATTTAATCAACTCGATGAGTTTTTGTGAGATTAGGCAAATATTACTCAAGACTCTCTGGGATCTCGTATTTATAAGAGTATAAATTGTATTTGATGGGACTGGTCCAGTTACTTTTAACTATTAATAAACTGTTTTTTAACTAGATCACAATTTGCTTATTGTAAATTTCAGGCTTATACTAAATTGTTTGACCATGTTTTCGAAACTTTGTCATATTGGTAGGAAGACCTAGATTAGCGCTCCTAGTCCGGAGTCCATAGTATACATGACAATTTCCAGAGTCCGACCGTGGACTTGTTACATTCCCAGACATTTGGCCCGGATCGTCAGTGAGTATTGCCATTCTTTGCACAATTCGTCAAAGAAACATTATGGCATCGCTACCCAATTCTACAATCTAATAAGGAAGTGTCATTCGTACATGGCTAATCAAATACTTTATCATGCTTCTATCCAGAAATTAGAGGTGAGTTACGAGACTGACAGGCATAAGCCAGAGTATGTCGGACCAGAGGTCGCAAAGGGTCCGGTATTTTATAAATATGCGGCATGACAAGAAATTGCTTAGCTATGTGATAATAAGACAACGCAAATTTTGATGGTTCTGTATTGAAGGCATCGACTGCTACGACAGGGATAAGGTAGTAAACCTATCCTCAGTTCTTCTTGATTCTGAAACCATGGATCTACTGAAGAAACAGCTAAATCTTTCCCTAGCTAACAAAGGAAACGTTCTTAATGACATTATTGTGGAAGTTGTCAACATGTCGGATAAATATCAAGAAGAGACAAAACGGGAGCAACACATAAACTAGCGAAGTTCATTTGCTTGAAGCTCAAGAAAGTGAGTGGCAGACTCTCCATTACCGTGAAGAATTTATATGAATTTTCTCAAAGGATCCAGAACATTGGTCTGGTGGGGACGGAACTGTTGGTAAGTTTCGATGTACAATCCATGTACCCAAACATTTCAGCTGAAAAGGCGGTTAGTGACTTACTGGAGATATTGGAACGAGAAGAGAATATCCTGGAAGCAGAACGGATACGGAAGGAATCGTTAACACGACTGATTAACGTAATAGTAAAGACCTTATATTTTACATTAATGGAAGTATCTACGAGCAAATATTTGGACTACCGATGAGATCTCCACTCTCACCTCTTGGCAAATGTATACATGAACGAGTTGCAAAGGAAATTCGAGAAGTCACCACTTCAGCCAAGAGTGTTTATGCAATACTTGGATGAATACCTTGCAGTTTGGTCACATGGTAAGGAAAATTTAAATGAATTCCTCGATTTCATTAAGCAACTTGATGAAAGAATTAAATTCATAATGATTGACTACCCGTCCTGGATATTGAGTCATGCGCTCCAACGGCACACTAATGAGAAGACTATACAGAAATAATTAATATGTGGGAATATTCCTTAATTTTTAGTCTCATCATAACTACAGAGTGAAGCTCGGAATATGGAGGAGTTTGATCACTAGAAGCCTACGATTAACAGACACTGAGTTCTGGGACGAGAAGTTGGACAAACTGACACGGATTTGCCTTAGTAACGGGTACCCCAGAGAATTTTAGAAAGAAGTGTAAAGGTTATAAAGCGCAGATTTCAACTCGGACGACCAGAAGTGGATTCGCCTGCTCTCATCTGAACTTAACCAACAATTGCGACCCTTGCTAAGGAAATGAAATATCCAGGTGATAACAAACGAGAAGAAAACACTTTTTACCAGTCTGCCGACGCAACACGAGAAGACAGACAAACTTGATTGCTCAGAAGTTTATCGCATCGAATGCGGCAACTGTGAGCAGAAGAATATTGGTGAAACAGGATGAAAAATCGGCATACGAATCAAGGAGCATCAAAGACTGTAGAAACATGGATATGCAAAGATCTGAAATAGCGGAACACATTGCATGAATGGGACACGAAATTAAATGTAAATCCACAGAAAGACTTGCTGCATATGATTAAACTACGATAAAACGTAGGATCCGATAGGCCATCGATATACTGATTGAAAGAAATCTAATTAACAGGTGAAGAAGGCAGTCTCAGCCAAAACTTTGCATATTGCCTAGACAAACTCGGAGAAGACCAGGCAACAGTAAGATCAGCAAGAAGAAGACGACTTGATCAAGGTAACATCTTTAATTTTATGAAAAGAAATCGCAAGAAGACTACACATCTACACTTAGAAGCCAAGAGGAGACGTCTTCAGTGAGCCTAATGAAAACAAGTAGAACCACAACATTTCTGGGTCGGCACACAAAAGCCTACGTCATAGGAAGTCATCGACTTGGTATTAGGGATAGAAACAGGATAGACGCGGTGGAGATTAGAGCTAGTTGGCTAACAGAGTCTCCCAGGGGCAGAGTGCGGGAAATAACACCTCGAGTAGGACAGATAGGGTGGCAGGGGTCGAGTGAAATACTCGAACCAGGGAGGTAGCAGACAGATCCTACGGGGCAAGAGAGAGACTCTGATAGGACCTGCGGAACAATATGGCAGACTCTGAGCAACATTCCCAGCACAAGGATAAATGGGGGTGACAAGTTGAGAAAGCCAGCGTGTGGTGTATAAAATTCTCATGAAATCTGCCCAAAGGGGCACACCATACCACATTTAAATAAGCGAAGGAGAAAGATTGTTATAGTGAAGAAGTGATATGAGAATATAGGATTGGTGATTATATATGGATACATATTTATACACAGGATTGGAACGTCAGTGAATGTTAATTAATGGATTTCTCTAGACTTTTTACTTTTCAATAGTCTGATTAGAAAGTTGATCGACAAATTTTACTGGCTGGTATTAAGGCCTTAAGGATTTGGATCCTAAAGAGATTATTTCTTATAAGCAGACACTATTTCGACTCGAAACTAGCAAACGCTGACCTGAGTGAAGTACTGTTTTTAGTTAAAGCTTAGTTCCATCATGAGTGGCTCATCTAGCATTAGCTCGAGTTCCACGCCATCAAAATTATACTTCAATTTCCCCTGGCCTTGCATATGGAATCGAATTGAGTAGCAGAAATAGTTACTTTCCCATGCTGCTAAAATATTTAAAATCACAGTTAAGATTTTACTTGAAACTGTTGGGTACTTGATCCTTTTCCCCTTTTTTCTCCCTATACTCACTAGTTCTACGCTTACTTATTCATTTCCCACCAACCTCCGTTTTCTAGACTCAGACAGCGATACGCCAGACGCCAAAACTCTTGAAAACACCGTTTTCCCTACAGAGTTAGATCTGCTCGCCTCCAGACCACGGCTGCGCAGTTCCCCCTCTTCGAAACCATCATTTCTAGACTCGAAAATCTATGCCGTGGTTGGCCCACATCGTGTGACACTTGACCAGCTGGCTGTGTTGACCGCAAGGACCGAGCAAGCAAATCGCTCTGATGATGGTGCGTGTGCTGGTGAGATGGCAGATACCCTGATTGACGCTTATTGTTTTGCTTTGACACAGGTGAGATCAACTCCCATGGGATAAAATGGTAGAATGCTTATTTCTTGGTTAGCACACTCTTATTCTCACTGGCTTTCTTACTAGTCCGGGCGAAATTACTGCTCCAATCAAACCATTATTCTGAGATAGAGTGAAATTTGACAATAACGCCAGGTGCTTTTCTAATGAACATTGGTGGTTAACTTTTCAAACATCGGCTCCATTGATGATTATATCCATTTTTATTTTTTTAATAGCTTATGTACCATAAACGAGAATTATATCTACGATCTTCATATCCAAAGTCCAAAATACTAAACAATAGACCAATACTCTTATAAATTATGCTAACACTTTAATCAGCTTATGTAATGATAAAGGTCAAGTGATCAAACGTATTATATTTGATTGAGTTGTATCAAATTTCTAATAAGGATCTACTTTTTTATCTGGCCAGACGTTTAACTTTTGATGACTGTTTTTAACTTATATCTTGACCTACTTTTGTCTGAAATACCGCGACTATCGGTTCCAAAAAAGTAATAAATGGATGATTTGCGACCAGGTATGATCTGGACCCAATTTATATTTTTATCTGCTGCTAAAATTTGCATGCTAGGCTCATTCTGCTGTGCTCAACTTTACTGTACTAGTCTATTTCCAGGGCCCGCTAAGAAAAAGTAGCTCCTTAGACTTCATCTCCAATTTTTGATTCCCTAGTGGACTTTTGCCGATAACATTGGCAAACTGACTGAAATATATTGTGAAATAGGCTTTACTAGCCTCATCCTGTAGATAATTCACTTACCCATTCGATAGCTTTTCTATGCTGAATGACTCTGAATGTGTCTATTTGCGTCTTTGGAATCGTTTTGCCCTGTTTGGCAGGATATGTAAGACACATATCAAGCATTATTCCTCATAATACTTTAATAAATTATCCTGATCTCTATGATTACTCCGACTACCTGAACCTGAGATATAGAAAGCCCCTAGGCGTGAGCTTTCTCGTGATATCTCGCAAGGCCTGGTGACTTAGGCTATCGTCATTCTTTTTGTTCTTGGAGAATAATGCTTGTTCTTTTAGCTCATACAATAATCAATTTTAGTCAGTAACAATTCCCTCTTAGATATTTTCTGCAAAACTATATTCTTATCAGTGTTGGTTCTAACTTGTTTTCGCGGCCTGGTCGCAACGTCAGTGAGACCTTGTAGAATGTACCTACTCCCGTGTCCTCTACCATAGTATTCGTGATTTCCAGCATAGGACCTTTGGCTAAGTACATTCCCAAACGTTTCGCTCGCATCGTAAGTGAGAGGCGCCATTTTAGGCAGAGTTACAACTTATTAAAGTGACAAGTGAAGACAATTTTCTGTTCAACCGTTATGGCATCACTACTCGCTCTTATTTTTTCTATCTTATAGTTCCGCATCTATTTCTCTCAACCCCACTTCATATCACCCATCGAGTTATTCACCCAATTCTATGCTTTCGTTTTCTTCAGTGTCGCATAAGACAAGTGGGTTTAGTGAAGTGTAATTATCTCCACCACCGGTACCAGATGCCGTTTTTAGGGCTCCTGACCTACATTCTAACCCTCCTTTTTCCTACCCGCTTGTCAATTGGCCGCGGCGAAACATCAAAATCACTGTTTGGCTGTCTGAAGTCTGTCTGCCTAAGAACCTTCTATTATCGTCCTCGATTACTCCATATTCGAGGAGTTATAACAGATGATGCACATGAACATGTCAGTGCCTGGGAATCTTCCTCCCCCTAGACTTCAAACCCATGACTCAATTATCCTCTTCCTCATCCCCACCCACATCGTGTTTCATTCTTTGTGGCTCTATGTCCGGCTTAAGTCGTAACCACTAGTGTGAGGATGCATTGCTTCCCCTTTTTCTCTTGAATCGCGAAAAACACACCTCTCGTCTCTCATGTTGAAATTCCCATATAATCTTAGGGTACTGGAATAATGTCCCTGTGTGTGCGTTAATTGGTATCCCCCGTGGCCACGCCTGTCATCAGTAACCTCCCCTTCCGACGCAGATACAAAGATTACACACGACACTCACGCAAACACTGATGAACTCTATCTAACCTACCTATACCTTTAGTCTTTAATTTCATATCCTATATCTCATAGATGAACCCGCTAGGTAAATTTTTGGCCAATCTAACGTCTAACTCCTCTCACTGCAGTCGCCTTTTCTTGACTTCCCTTTATTCCTTATGATCCGCCTCTTGGTGATGTCTCTTCCTATTGAACAGTTATCCTGAGTCCAAGCCTCTTCTTTTTGATGTATTCGTTTAATCTTCAAGTCTGCTCAGGCAGTACGCAAAATTATCGCTAACTCTTCCCTCTTCCAATCTCCTGTTCATCAGGTTTCTTTGAAAGAGGGTGTCCACAGCCTCCCTGATCTTCCTTTTCATGATGTTTTCCTCATATGAGGCCAGTCTTTCCGTTGCATTCTAGTCAAATGTGTGGCCGATAAGGGCGGTGCGATCTTTCCGTATCCATTTTCCTGTTTAGTCGCTGGTGTTATTAGATCTCTGTGCTGATTGTCATTCCCTTCTCTCCGATTAATTTTTGTACACAGCCCTTGCAGTGTATGCTGCAAACTCCGAAGCACTCCATTTTGTTGACTTTTTCATATGTGGGCAAGCTGTTAAAGAGGGTTGTCCTTTCCTTCAGCATCGTACGAATGCTCCTTTTCCCTAGTATTGGCCGTAGCTTCCGAGCCATTCGCAGGAGGGTAGAAATATCCATAATTATTCTTCTTTTCTTGCTTTCCTTTCATATTTTCCGTCCTTCCATCTATTCATCACCATCCGTATGTTGTATTATATTGCTTCTTCTAAATATCCGCTTCCAAGAAACATCTGAGTTAGTTTTCCCTGTTCCTTTTCCCAGAACTCATAATCAGTCAGTAGTAAGTTTTTTATGATCATACTCTGGAGTATTCCAATCTTCATCTCATAAGTATGTTTAGACTGGAAGTTAATAGTTATTCCAGCATGCGATTTCTTTCGGAAAGGTTTTTTTTAAGAGTTTTCTCGTAGCGAATGTACTCCACATCCAAGAACGGTAAGTGTCCGTTCTCTTTCACATCGCTGGGAAATTTAACTTTTTCATCCATTTAGTTTATGAAGATCAAGGAATCGTCTAATTTTTCTCTTCTATGCGACCAAATTGCGAAATAGTTATCCAAATATCGCAAAATTACTGTTGCCTGCTGTGGTGACATTTTGAAATTCTCTTCCATCTTGTCCATGAATACATTAGTTAACAGAGGCGAGAGTGGTGAGCCCACAGGCAGACCAAATATATGCTCAGATGCGGCCGTTGAATGTGAACTAGGTCATTCTTATTGTTAATTTTATTAATCGGGCTAGGTTACGCATTCGTTCTGTCTCCAGGATGTCATTTTCTTTTTCCAAGATCTCCATTAGTGTGGTGAGTGCTTTTTCTCCTGTGATGTTAGTGTACATGGACGGTACATCAAAGCTCACCAAAAGTTCGTTTGCTTCCAACCTTGCGCCATTGATTCTTTGGCAAAATTCGTATGAGTGCGTTCATTGTGAATTTGCCGATTTCCCCCTTCATATTCATTTACTTCAGCATTTATTGCAGTGCTCCTCTGATTCTAAATGTTGGGCCTTTTGCTAGTAGTCGATAAGTTTTAGTGTTCCCGAGAATATTTTACATTTCCCCCGTATATTCCCTACTGTCCATTACCACTGTGACACCTCTTTTGTTTATTTATAGGACTATTTGATCGTTTCTGTTCAATTATCTACATATCATAGTTAGATTGTCCCTATATGTGGGTTCTTGATGCGCCAAGCTTATTGAGGTGGCCGAATATATGAAGACCAGGATGGTGTGGCCTTTTCTATGGCCGTGGTCTCCTTTCGTTATATAGAAGTTGATTGACCTTATTTTCGCAATTTTGTCATATTGGTAGGAAGACCTAGAGGGACAAACCTTGTACGAAGGCCATAGTATGCATGCTAACTTCCAGAGTCTGACCGTGGACATGGCACATTCCCAGACGTTTCGCCTGTACCGTAGTCGGCATCGTCAGTGAGTCTTGTCATTCTTACTATCACACTACAACTCGTCAAAGAGACAAGTAAATCGATCTTTTTACCAGATGTGTGCTGAACAGTTGTGATATCTCTCCTTCTGTTGGAGGGATGAGAAAACCAGTGGGGAGTGTGAATGGATTTCAAATAGGTCTAGATAAACAAGTAAGAAATTGTGATATTGAATGGGTGATACGAGGATTTAGAATAGGTGAATAGCCCAGGACAGAAGGAGACATACCTCAACTGTTTAGCACACATTTGATCAAAGGATCGACTTCTCTTGTCTCTTTGACGAGTTGTAGTGTAGTGTTAAGAATGGCAAGGCTCACTAACGATGCTGGCGAAACGTCTACAGTCCGGCTGTGGAAATTATCATTCATACTATGGACTCTGGACTAGGTGTGTTCCTATAGATCTTCCTTCCAATATGACCAAATTGTGCAAGCAAGGTCAAATTACCTCTATTTTTGATCGTTCAGGTATCTTTTCAGAGATATTTATCACATTCACTAAGATGTCCTTGATTGCCTTCTTTTAATTTCGAAGTGCAAAATGTAGTCCCTTTAAACTCAAGAGTATGTAGGCCAGGAGCACTACAAACGGCATCTGGTACCGGTGGTGGTGATGATTACACTCCGCTAAACCCACTTGTCTTAGGCAAAATTGCAGGAAACGAGAACACAGAATTGGGTGAATAGCTCGATGGGTTGAGAGAAAAATATGAGAGAAGTGGGGTTGAGAGAAAAATATGCGGCACTCGAAGATAGAACAAGAAATAACGATGAGAAATTATGTCACTTTGATAAATTGTAACTCTGTGCTTACGATGACGTTTCTCATTGACGATTTCGGCGAATCATTTTGAATGTACCCAGCCAAAGTTCCAATGCTGGAAATCACGAATACTATGGCAGAGGACATGGGTATTGGTACATTCCACAAGTTCTCACCGACGCTACGACCAAGTTGTGAAAAAAAAGTCGAACCAACACTATAAAGCTAACGGAGACTGCGACCAAAATGAAGGCCACATCATCTTGGTCTTCATAAATACGATATATTCTTATCAGTTATAATCATTTCCCTATGCGTTAGTTCTGCTTGAGGCCTAAGGGCTGCCATATTTATTTCTGTGTCCACATATTCCAAGCTATAATCTTGTTGAGAATTATGGAGAGACAGAGAAAAAGAGTAAGCTAAGTTTGCTTTTTATAGAGTATACTTTGTGATAAATACTAGGGCGACTGACTAATGGAACCAATCATTCCTTTTACATCCCATGGTCATTACACCACTCAATAACCATAGTTTCATAATCAGATTCGGGATTGGTTTTGATATAAACAATTGCTATCGTAGTGTGAAAAAGGATATATCTAACATCATTAAGCTCCTTCGATACATTGCAAATCATTGCTATCCATGAATCGAAGGCGTTACTGATGCGTAATAAAATGATATGTACTCAATTATTTATCATAACTTGCCTATGGTAAGTATGATAGTATGAACTCAATTGAAAATTCATCACAAGCTCATCTATATCTATATACCACCAAGTGATCAGTAGTTTACTTTGTTACTTAGTTCAGTTATACTAAGATTGTACAAAAAATGTCTTAAGTATAATGAAAGCAATTAAGAATTGTGAGAAGAGGCCATTATGAGCTGGGCGATTTCGTCTTGGTTTAAGAACCCATACTTGAGTCTAAAAATTTATTGCATTTGCCATTCTCATTCTTTTGCTTTGAACCTGGCTTACTTGTTGAGTTTATTAATTCATTTGATTTGCTCTTTTTCAAAATGTTATTCTTTTATGCTTATTTTTAGGGGCTCAATTTTTCTAGCAAGTCGTAGTCAACTCTTGATCTGAACCTCTTTGAGATAAAAAATAAAATGCATAGTTATCATGACTTGGTTTGACTTCATTCTTTCAACTTTGTCACTTAATGGAGGATTGTTTATAACATCCAACTCTGACTATTCTGATGTTCTATTCTTATGCTACGTTGGAATTGATTCACTTATTGGCTACTTTTTCTAGCTTATCGTTGATATTGTATTTGGCCTTATCTCCTAGGATGTCATGGGATCTCCTGGGATGTCATGGATTACCATTAAAACACTAAAGAATAACTTTCCGATAAAAAACTCAACAAAGTCTACAATCTCTTTCACCTTATTACAGGATAATACTCTGGCTATAGTTGTAGCGTTTTATTTTTTTATCAGTCTATACCAAGATAATGGCTCTTCATAACCATTGGATTTTCACATCTTTTCTTTAAAATTTCCTTTCCGATTCGGCTATTCTTATAGACTCAAGCTTTCCCTTGCCTACTCAAATCTTCTTTGGTTCGACCAAATGTCTTAAATTCAGACCGTTCTTCCAATGAGTCTTGTGAACCAATAATTTGCGATTCCCTTCGAACTTCCGTGCAGTCGCCAAATGCCAATAGCTCAACCAATTTGCTTGCCTCTAGTAGACACGGCTCTTCAACTTACTACCTGCAGCCGGGTCTAGATCAGCAGCTTTTATCTACTGATCAGAATTCTGCTCTATCGCAGCCATTTCCTCGTTCCACTGACAACTTCAAATCTGTACAATTGGTAGACTCACTTGCCCTCTCTTGTCTGTTCCTTGCTGCTCGGGCGCCAAGTCGTCTTGACCGACTGCTTCGCTTCCGCAATCTTTGGC